CCCCAGAAGTGCATTAATGTACATAGTTACCATTCAATAAAAAAAAATAAAATAAAATAAAAAAAATTATGTTACAATGTTTTCATTTATTAGGTAGCTTCCCTCTTGAAGTTGTGTCCGATCCCCAAGAGGTGTCCATACCCCCTAATATTGTGCCCATGAAGTTGGAGCACAGACACCCCCTCCTTTACTCTCCTCACTCCCTAATCCCCCTGTCCTCCACCTTGAATTGATTTAAGTTTTTCTCTTTTGTGGGTGTGTATTAGATCATCTACTGGCTTGATATTAGTATTGAGTACACTGGATTCTTGCTTCTTCATTCTTGTGATAACTTCACTAAGAAGAATGTGTTTCAACTCCATCCAGGTTAATATGAAAGATGTAAAATCTCCATCTTTTTAATGACTAAATAGTGTTTCATGGTATACATATACCACAGTTTATTAATCCATTCCTGGGTAGGTGGGCATTTAGGTTGTTTCCACATCTTGGTGGTTGTAAATTGAGCTGTGATGAACAATTTAGTGCAAATGTCCTTGTGATAAAATGATTTTTTTTCTTCTGGGTAGATGACTAGTAATAGGATTGCAGGATCAAATGGGAGGTCTAATTTGAGTTCTTTGAGGATTCTTCATAGTTCCTTCCAAAAAGGTGTATTAGTTTACAGTCCCACCAGCAATGTAAAAGTGTTCCCTTCCCACTGCAGCTTTGAGACTTTGGGATATGGGCTATTCTCACTGGGGTTTGGTAATATCTCAGGGTGGTTTTGATTTGTTTTTCTCTGATGATCAGGGATGATGACCATTTTTTTCAAATGTTTGTTACCCATTTGTCTGTCTTCATCAGAGAAGGTTCTGTTCATATCTTTTGCTCAGTAGTAGATGGTATTGTTTGCTCTTTTTTGTTGTTGATTAATTTGAGCTTTTTGTAGATTCCAGTTATCAACCCTTTGTCAGATTGATACCCTGAGAATATCTTTTCCCATTCTGAAAATTGTCTTTTTGCTTCACTTGTTGTGTTCTTAGCTGCACAGAAGCTTTTCAGCTTAATTAAATCTCATTTGTTTATTTTTGCTGTTGTAATTGCTGCTGAAGTCTTTGTCATAAAATCTTTTCCCAGTCCAACATTATCAAGAGTTTTCACACACTTTCTTCTAAGATTCTTATAGTTTCATGTGTTAGATTTAAATATGTTGTCCATCTTTGGTCAATTTTTGTAAGTGGTAAAAGGTGTGGGTCTAGTTTCAGTCTTTTACATGTGGTTATCCAGTGCTCCCAGCAGCATTTGTTGAATAGGGATTCTTTTCTCCATCGAAATGAGAGACTGGTTTCATCTCTTGGTTTTTCTTCTGTTCCATATGTTCACATATCTCTGTTTATGACAATACCATGCTGTTTTGATTACCTTGGACTGTAATATACCCTGAAGTCTGGTAGGGTGATGACTCTGGCTTTGTTTTTATTACTTAGAATAGCCTGGGCTATACAGGGTTTTTTCTGGTTTCATACAAAATGAAGTGCTATTTTTTCTAGTTCTTCAGAGTGTGATCTTGGTATTTTAATGTGGTTGCATGGAATCTGTAGATTGCTTGAGGGTAGAAGAGACTTTGTAAATGTTGATTCTCCCCAGCCAAGTGTATGGTATGTTCTTCCATTTGTTATTGTCTTCTGCTATTTCTTTTCTTAGGGTTTCATAATTCTCTTTGCAAAGATCCTTCACCTATTTTGTTAGGTATATTCCTAGGTATTTGATTTTCTTTGAAGCTGCTGTGAATGGAATTATGTCCTTGATTTGCTTCTCAACTTGACTGTTATTGGCATATACAAAGGCTACTAATTTGCGGACCTTGATTTTATACACTGAGATGTTACTGTATTTCTTGATAAATTTCAGGAGTTTTGCAGTTGAGTCATTGGGGTTTTCTAAGTATAAGATCATGTCATCAGCAAAGAGCAAGAGTTTGACTTCCTCTGCCCCTATCTGGATGTTCTTTATGTCCTATGTCTTACTGGTAAAGGGAAAAATACAAGGTTTTTCTTTTCTGAAAATGTGTATGCATTTTTTTTTTGGCATCTTCTGTATTTAAATGCAGTTAGACAATATAGTCCATGAATAATTTCCTCTGTTTCATAGATTGTCTTTTAATTTTGTTGGTTATTTCCTTTCCTGTGTAAAAACTTTTTAGTTTGATGTAGACTCAGTTGTTCATATTTGTTGCCTGTACTTTTGGTGTCAAATCCAAAATCTCATTAATGGCCAATGTCAAAGAACTTTTCTCCTATGTTTTATTCTCAAAGTTTTACAGGTTTAGGTCTCACAGTTAAGTCTTTGATCCATTTGAAATTGATTTTTGTGTATGGTACAAGAGAAAGTTCTGATTTCAGTCTTTTGCATATGAATATTCCATTCTCCCAGCACCATTTATTAGAGTTTATCTTTGCCAATTTTTTGTTATTGGAGGCTACGTCAAAAATTAGTTTGTCACATATATGTGTGTTTATTTCTGGGTTATTGTGTGTGTGTGTATGTGTGTATGTGCTTTTATGACAGTACATACTATTTTTATTTCTTTAGCATTGTAATATAGTTTCAAAAAGGGAAGTGTGTTGACTCCAAATTTGTTGCTCTGGGTCAAGATTGCTTCTAATTCTTTAGTATATGTTATTATGTACTATACATATAATATATATATAATGGAATATAACTGTTAAAAAAGAAGAAAACTTGTAAAGTTGTAGATGAAACTTGTAAAGATGTAGATGAAAATTGAGGACATTGTGTTAAGTGAAATAAGCCAGGCATAAAAAGACAAATATTGCATGATAAATGGATTAAAATTGGTGGGATCACACCTATGGTTCATGTTATAAGGTACATGTGAATCTTTCTAAATGTAGAATATAAATGTCTTAACACAATAACTAAGAAAATGACATGAAGGCTATATTAACCAGTTTGATGAAAATATTTCAAATTGCATATAAAAACAGCACACTGTACCCCATGACTTTATTAATGTACACAGCTATAATTTCATAAAAAACAAATAAATAAAGGTCAAATTTATAGAAACAAATTAGAATTGTGGTGAGTAGAGAAAAGCAAATATTGGTTAAAAGGTACAAACATTAAGTAGTAAGATGAATTAAGTGAACTAATGTGCAATTTGGTGACTGTTGTGAATAAAACCAGATTGTATACTTGAAATTTCTTCAAAGAGTAGAACTCAAGTGTTCTCCCAACACACAAACACACACATACACACACACATAACTATGTGGGGTGATATATATGTTAATTGTCTTGATTGTGGTAATCATTTTACAATGTATATGTACACAAAACATCACTTTGCATAACCTACATATATGCAACTTTTATTTGTCAGTCATACCTCAGTAAAGCTGACGAGAAAGTACTATGGAAAATGTTTTTGTTCTATTGCCTTCTCCTTGGTCAGATCTACCAATTATTTATTTATTTTATTTTTTTAGAGACAGAGTCTCACTTTGTCACCCTTGGTAGAGTGCTGTGGCATCACACTCACAGCGACCTCCAGGTCTTGGGCTTAGGCTATTTTCTTGCCTCCTGAGCTGCTGGGACTACAGGCGTCTGCCACAATGCCTGGCTATTTTTTTGTTGCAGTTTGGCTGGGACTAGATTCAAACCCACCACCCTAGGTATATGGGGTCAGCGCCCTACTCACTGAGCCATAGGCACCACCCAGAGCTACAAATTTTTATTTAATCATCTCTGTCCTTTCTTAAAGGAAAGAGCTTCACTTCACATAGATGCAATACTATTTTTCATGCAAAGGTATGTGCCAACATAATGAATGAGCACACTGAAGTTGTCTTGTCTAGATCCTCATTTCTTCATTGGTCATAACAAAGTTCTGACAAACTATTTTTACTGAAGTGTGAGTAATTTTATTTGTCATCCCTGCAACATGACATTCTGTTATCATGTTACATTACATTTTATCAGTGACTTTATTACATTTCTTTTGTTCTTCCATTCCCCTCACTCTCTATGCTCCAAGCCTACTCTCTCTTTCACTGCCCCTTGAATTCTCCCAATTTAGGGCCTTTGCTCTAGCTAGTCCTTTTGTCTAGATTACTATTTTCCCTGATTTTTTTTTTTTTTTTTTTTTTTTTTGGGTTGGGGATTCACTGAGGGTACAAAGAACTAGGTTATGCTGATTGGATTTTTAGGTAAAGTACATTTTATTAATTATTTTTAAGGTAAAACATTAATAGAAATGTTCAGTGAATTGGATTTTATAAATCATAGCCAGAAGAACAATCTGAATAGTAATTTTTTTTATTGACTGATTCCTTAACAGTTATTAATTTGTGTTAAAGGGGTAACATAATCTTTTTTATTTCAAATTAATATGAGGGTACAAATTTTTAGGTTACATTGTTCTCACTTTCAAGGTAAAGTTTAAATTCTGGTTGAGCCCTTCACCCAGGGGGTACACTGAACACATTCACTTTGTGCACATTAGTTGAGATACCACCAACTGCCCTCCTTCCTCCCACCAATGACTCTCCCACTCCCCCTTCTCCTCTCTCTCCTTTTCTGTCTCTTCTCCTTTTCTATCTTATATTTGTGTTTTATCATTTGCATGTGAGTATAATTGTTTATATATTGGTTTCATGTTTGTATTGCATACACTGGATTGTTTTTTCCATTTGAGATAACTTTACTAAGAAGAATGCGTTTCAACTCCATCCAGGTAAACATAAAAAATGTAAAGTCTCTATATTTTCTTATGGCTGAATAGTACTCCATGGTGTGCATATGTCACAGTTTGTTAATCCATTCATGGATTGGTGGGCATTTGGGTTGCTTCCATGTCTTGGCAATTATGAATTGAACTGCAATAAACATTCTGGTGCAAATGTCTTTGTGGTAAAATGATTTTTATTCTTCTGGGTAGGTAACTCCTAATGGAACTGTGAGATTAAATGGAAGGTCAACTTTTAGTCATTTAAAAAAATGCTGAACACTTCACAAATTTGCATAACATCCTTGCGCAGAGACCACACTAATCTTCTCTGTGTCATTCTAATTTTAGTATATGTGCTCCTGAAGTGAACACAGTAACATGATATTTAGTTTTGCAAAGCTTCTGTTGATGGCAGTAAGGATTTCTATACCTTTATATTTCTGAGATATTTATGGTCATCCATCCTTTCTCTATTTTTGTTTTCCTTTCCTTACCTCTAAAATATAGTTTTACAAAGAACTCATTTACATTTACTCCCCTATGCTTTTATTTTCCTGTACAATATCATCTAATTTTCTGCCTTAATGTATTTTTGTTAAGTGAATGATTTCATTATCTCACCTGTCATGTCCTAAGATCAGATCCCTATCCAATTGCCTACTGGACATCTTTACCATACAGACATTAAAATCAATGTCCAAAATTGAAACCAGTTTCCCTTAGATGTTATTAAATCCTCTGTTTTTTTTTTTTCCTGCTAATTTCCTATCTTTTTTATTCGTACTTCTATTTTTATGATCTCTCAAGAGATAAATCTTGGCATCACTATTAACATTTTCTTCCTTCTTGTTTGAAGAAGGTCTTTCCTGCCCTCATTACACCTAATAGGTTAATAATCTTGTTTGTTCCTCCTTCTAAATATGTCTTTAAATATGCTTCTTGACTAATGTCAGATTGGAGAATCACACTGGGAACTCAGAGGAAGACATATTAGAAATTTTGGAACAGGAATGGGAGAGAAATTGAAACATACCTTTACTTTTTTAAGGTTCAAAATATTAGTGGAGTACAAATGTTGTTACATGGCTTGAGTTAGAGCCATAAATGTTCCCATCACTCTAAAACTGCTCAATATACCTGTTAGGTACATTTTTGCCTTTTTTCTCTCACTCCTTCCCTTCATTGGATTTCTAATGACTTTTACATCCCTCTGTGCACTTGTGCATCCATTAGTTAGCTTTGTTTGTTTTCCCATTCTTGAGGGAAATTGATTACTTAGGGTAATCATTTCTAATTCCTTTGGATTGCTTCAAAGGGCATGAATTTATCCTTTTTATGGCTGATTACTACTCCATGGTGTATATATGCCACATTTCATTAATCCATTCATGAATTGGTGGACACTGGATTGACTCCAAATCATTGCAATTCTGGGTTGTATTGCAATAAACATTTAAGTGCAGGCATCTTTTGGATAAAATGAAGTTTTTTCGTTTGGATAGATACCTGTAGTGGGATTGCTGGATTGAATGGTAGGTCTACTTTTAGTTTTTTTTTTTTTCAGAAATCTCTATATTGTTTGCCACAGGGGTTATACTAATTTGTAGTCCCAGGAACAGTAAATACACATTCTCTTGTCTCTGAAGATATTCTAGAATGGCTTTTATTAAAAAATAAAATATCGGTATGTATTTTTATGAGGAATCTCCATACTGTTTTCCACGAAGGTTGTGACACTGCATGAGCATTTCTTTCTCTCTGCATGCATGCCAGCATCTTTTGTTTTGTACTTTTTAATAAAAGCCATTCTAATAAGAGTAAGGAGATATCTCACTGTGGTTTTAATTTGCATTTCCCTGCTGATGAGTGATGTTGAGTATTTTTTGTGTATTTGTTACTGTTTGTCTATCTTCTTTTGATAAGCTTTTGTTAATGTCTTTTGGCCTCTTTTTAATGAGGTTGTTTGTTTTTTTCTTGCTGACTTATTTGAGTTTTTTTGTAGATTCTGGATACTATCACTTTATCAGATGTATATATTATGAATATTTACTTCCATTCTGTAAGATGTCTATTTGGTCTACTGATTACTTTCTTAGCTGTGCAGAAGCCTTTTTGGGGGGGGGGCAAGGCTGGGTTTGAACCCACCACCTCTGGTATATGGGCCAGCACCCTACTCCTTTGAGCCATAGGTGCCACCTGCAGAAGCCTTTTAATTAAATGAAGTTCTATTTATTTACTTTTATTGCTGTTGCAATTGCTATTGGGGTCTTAATCATAAATTCTTTGCCTAGGCTGATATCTAGAGGAGATTTCCCTGTATTTTCTTCTAGAATTTTTATGGGTTCATGCTTTATATTTAAGTCTTTTCTCCATCTTGAATTACTTTTTGAGAATGGAGAGAGATAGGGCTCTGGTTTTGTTGATTTGCGTGTGGCTGTGTAATTTTCCCAGCACCATTTACTGAATAGGTCTCCCCTCAAGTGAACATTGTTCTCTACTTTGTCAAAGATCAGATGGCTGTAGGTAGGTGGTTTTAGATCTGGGTTCTTTATTGTGTTACATTGGTCCATATCTCTGTTTATTTATTTATTAATTATTATTGTTTTTTAACAAAACATGCTATTTTGGTTATTACACACTTGTATTGAATTTTGAATCTGGTGTTTCACCTCCAGATTTCTTCTTTATCTTAAGATTGTTTTGGCTATTTGGGTTCATTTTTATTTCCGAATGAGACATAGAATTACTTTTTTATATCTTTCAAATATTACATTGGTATTTAATAGTGAAGATTGCATTGAATCTATGAGCAGTATGGAAATTTTAACAGTGTTGATTCTACCAATCCATGAGCATGTTATGTTTTTACATTTGTTTCTTCCATTTGTAGTTTCTTTCTTAGGTGCTTCATAGTTTTCCTTGTAGAGATCTTTCATCTCCTTTTAAAGTATATTCCTAAGTATTTTATTTCCTTTGTAGCTATTTTGAATGGTATTGAGTCTTTAATTTGATTCAATACCACTCACAGTAACTATTCACCCAAACTCACTCTCGCCTTGGGTGTTATTTGTATGTAGAAATGCTACTGACTTGTGTACATTGATTCTGTAACCTGAGACTTTGCTGAATTTTTTATCAATTCCAGAAGTGTCTTGGGGGAGTCTTTGGGATTTTCTTGATACACAATCATATTGTCAGTGAAAAGTGGTAGTTTTACTTCCTCTTTCCCAGTGTGGATTTTCTTTATGACTTTCTCTTGCCTGGTTGCTCTGGCTAGGACTTCCAGCACTATATTCAATGGAAGTGACAGTGAACATAATGCTTTTTCTAGTTATTAGGGGGAAGACTTAACACTACAGAAAGTTGGATTATAAAAGGCTAGGAAAAGATAATGGCCAAATAATCATCAAAGGAAAGCTGGTGTAGTTATACAATATTAGATAATATCCAAAATAAGATATAGGTAATAAAAGATATCAATGTCTAAAAATAAAAAAATTCACATTATTTTCAAGCATAAATGAAACATTGACAAATAGTAACCAAGTACCATAATTATAAAAGTGCAAACATTTTAATCATAATGACAGGGGCCATATTTTCTTATAAGATTAAAACTTAGTATTAATCAAAAAATATTAATATTAATCAAAATGATAAAAAATAATCTCTATGCTTCTTGAAATTTAAAATCATTCTTTGAGATAAATTTGGGTATAAAGAAAATTATTTTATTTATCAAAATTTGCATATAAAGTGGACCTGGAAAGATCCACTGTGACACAGCATATAAATGCTATGTGACATAGCATATAAATTTTCTATTTCTCCACCTAGTAATAAACTACATAACTAAATCCAACTTATTAGACAATGTTACCAACAAAACTAAGTGACAATGCATATTTGTGAACTAGAGATATAGGAATAATTGGAGAAAAATGAGAATTAGTGAATATAGGCAAAGAGGATAGAAAATATACATAATAGCAAAACTTGTAAATGTGAAACCAAATAAAGAGAATGGAAAAAGCCCTAAAAATTACAATTCAATAAAACATTCATAAAATTAAAAAAAAAAAACAGATATAATATGTATGTTGTTTAAGCCCTCTATATGGAAGAGAATGTAAACCCAAACAACCGAGAGCAAGAGTTAGTCTATCAAAATGACTGGAAATTATAGTGAAACAAAAAAACCCATCTGTACATCTAGGCAATACAACAGGTTTCATAAAAGAGAAATAAAGTCGGGTTATGGTTAGATATATCAACAGTAATAATTTATGCCAGAAGAAAAGAGTGTAATATACTTAAGATACCCAAGGGAATTAAATGTGAACCAAAGGTTTATAAACAAAGAAATAACTGTGGACTGTAAAAGGTAAGAGAAAACTATGATATATAAAATGCAATACCACAAAGAATATAGTTTCCAAGAGTCTGTCCTTCCAAAGATCAGGCTTGAGAAAACCAGAAAGACAAAAATGTGAGTCACATTAAAGTCACAAAGTCACAAAGATTATTAAAGGTATTATTAGTAGTAATTTTAGAACTGACATTAAATGAAGATTGAGCACAGGAAACATAATTGATATTTTTATTACTTAAGGAAGGCAAATTAAAACCATAAGCTACTGAAATGGCTAAAAATGCAAAGATTGATATAACAAACATTAGCAAGAATATGCAGCAATGTAAGCTCTCATACACTGCTTAAAGAACTTTCCAATGGTAAAACCACTTTGTAAAACAATTTGAAAATTTCATAAACTGTTAAGCATATGTATACCATATGGCACAGGCATTCTATTTCTACACATCTAACCAAAGAAAATGAAGATGTATGTACACATACAGACTTGAAGAAAAATGTTCATAGAAGGGCTATTTGTTAAAAAAAAAAAAAAACTGGAAATAATACAAGTGTCCCAAAGTATATCAATAGATGAATGCATAAACAGATTCATATATAAGAATAGGGATGAATTTGGAAATAATTATTCTGGTGAAAGAAGTCAGATAAAAGCAAGCATGTGCCTTATGACTTTATTTATATGAAATTCTAGAAAATGCATACTAATCTCTAGTGACAGAAAACAGATCAGCATTTGCCTGGGGATGGTGATGGGGAGATAGTACAGAATGGACTGTTAAAGAGTAAGAAGAAAATTTTAGAATTAATGAGTATTGATTGTATTTCTAGTTTAACGAGTATAGTGATATGTCAAAATGTACTAACTTATGCACCTTAAATATGTGCAATATATTGTATATCAATTATAACTCATGTAAGTTTTATTAGAATTTGAATATACAACTTTGTATTCACATATTTTCAACTCCGTTTTGTCTTATCATTTTAGTTAAGTCTCTTGTAAACATCATAGATTTCAGAATATTAAATTGGTGTGAAATGTAAACAAAGCAGAGTGGGAATGGTGGGAAATGGCAAAATAAAACACTAGAGACAAAGACATGAGAGACAGAGATGAGATCAGGAGGTCTGGGCTATCTTTTCTCTATCACCAGCACCCAAGTGCCTGAACAGCCTTATTTTTAAGGAGGCAGTAAAAAGTTGTTTCTCAAGGAAGTAAGATGCATTTTCAATTTAATTGTGACAAGAAAAAAAGGCACAGATTCCCAAGTGAACATAATCTATTATTACTGTGTGATCTCTTAAATATGGGCAATATTACACATCTAGAAGATTAGCTGGAAAATGTACATGATTGCTTTGAAGTGCTGCTATAAAATTAAAAGCTATAGTTTTAAGGAAAATATATTTTTCTTCTGCTCAGTTAAAAATTGGAGCTTAGAGAAAATACGTTGTTATCTTCTGAGGAGGGTTAGTAGAAGCGGGACAATTACAGCATTCCCTGGATGTTCTCCCAAGCTGTGGGGATCCTGCCACCTCACAGCTTACACTCTACAAGAATAGTTTTCTTTATAACTAACATGTTAATTACACATAAATGTGATATGATATTTATTTATATAAATGTATTTTTAGTTTCAGAGAATTAATTCCATTTTACCATGTAGCTTATTGATTTTAATCATTATTTCCCTAATTTATCTTCTGATTATAATTCCAACTTTTCTTTGAGCTAACATAGTTTGTGAAAGAGCTACAAATGTAATACAAATTTTAGGATCCAAACATATATTTTTTACTCTCCAAATGACAGTTATTTGCCCATGTATAAAATTTTTGGGGCCACAATTGTTTTCTTCTGAGCTCTTCACATATCATTAGGGTGACCAGATTTTAACATTTGTAAAGCGGGACAACATGG